AGGCACACACACACGCGCACACACACACACGCACACACACACACACGCACACACACACACACACACACACACACACACACACACACACACACACATGCATGGATGTAGGCATACATACGTACACGTACTGAAGCAGAGGTGGGAGAAAGGTGGGGTGCAAGCTGATGGGACCTCAGAAACTAAAGAAGCACTGGTCTGGTGTGTGTGGGATGAACTGACCTCGCCCCAACCGTAACCGGGGATGAACATACGTGTTCCGAATGCATAGTACTTTGTGTCTGCTGCAATTGTGCCTCGCCTTGGGAAGAACCTCCATGGGAACAGCAGCAACCGGCCAGGGATTTTCCAGTACTGTTGGATGCTCAGCTTTGACAGTATCGGTGGCCGAGACTGCACACACAGAGAGAGAGAGAGAGAGAGAGAGAGAGAGAGAGAGAACTCAGTGGAGTGAATATAACATGTCATCATATATTTATTCAGTCATTTATTTAAATTATTTTCACTTGTCCTTCGGGACATCCGTTAAAATTGGAACAGTACAGAGAAGATTAGCATGGCCCCTGCACAAGGACGACACGTTAAAAAAAAAAAACAACCTTATTTTAAGTTATTTTAAGGAGCCCCTGCTGCAAATGTGCCCGCCCTAAGTGAAGGCGGGCCTAACAAATCACGAGAGGCCCTAAGCTGTCAAATTCATATTTGGGGTCCAGGCAGTTTCGTCGCGCCAGTTGGTTGGGGAAAACACAGGCCGAGCAGCGAGACATTCCACGGCCTTCGAGGCCTTTCCAAAATGATGCAGGCCCTGGACGAGAATCGCAGGCTCATACACAGACAGTTGGGAGGCCCAACTGAATGAGGCCCAGTAGCTGCACCAGAGGCGCAGCATCCTGGGGTGTGCCAGAAGCTTCTGGGCCCAGGCCCAGACCAGTCAGGATTGTGAAGGCAGGCAGACTCTTTCCATATACGAAAGAGCTCGTTGCCTGGAGCCTCATTCAGGCACCTGCATGCTAGCGGCAGCGCCGCTGGAGCTGACGCTCGTGGGCTGCTGCTGGCGCTGAGAGGCGACGTGCAAGCGCGTGCGGTCATGCAGGGAACAGGGCGCTGCTGAGGGCAGCGCCATAGCCCAGCCTCCATAGCTGGCTGAGGGCTTGGTTGTACAGTGAGGCGCAGGGGTGGTCTTCGGGTGTACAAAAGGAAGACGTGGGAAGACGAGGGAGAGAGAGAGAAGGATGATGATGGTGATGATGATGATGATGTGAGGGCACATAGCTGGTATTGGCGATGGTTCTGCATGGGCGACATCTTCAAGTACTTCGGAGGCTGCTGACGTCAACAGTTGCATTGTCAATTAGAAGGCTAGTAGTAGCTGTGTAGGGAGTAGGCTGGGCACCGAGCGCCAAGCAGGGAGATAGGGACTGGATACATGTGTTGGTGGTGGTGAGAGGAAGCTCTCATTGACATTGGTTTTCAGTGCTACGATTCTCCATTGGTGTCATATTGGTGCAATGCTGCTTTCTGAACACTGTGATACGATCTGGCTTTCAATGTGATTGTGCAATCTGAATATTGTCATCTCGCTATTGCTCATTTTCCTTGCATATTTATTTATTTAAATATTTGTTTTCATTTATTCATTCATTTATTTATTTTCATTATTTATTTTACGATAAAGCAGCAACTTATGGTCAGTGAACAATACTGAATATATAACATCATTTATTATTTATTTATTTATTTTTAATTAGATTTCCAAATTTGAAATTTCCCAAACAGTAAAACTTATATACTGTCAGTTTGTCACATTGACTTGCATATATAGATATATACATAAATATAATAAAATATTGGAATAGAGAACGTCCCAGCAAACGGGGGCCTGAGAGAGACTGTTTGTTGAACTTTCACCAACATTGCAGTTGAACTTTCACCAACATTGCAGTTGAACTTTCACCAACATTGCAGTTGAACTTTCACCAACATTGCAGTTGAACTTTCACCAACGTTGCAGGAGGCTGAACGCTTGACAGTCTGCAGACAGTGCAGAGGAATTTTTTTTTAGGGCAGAGTCGCAGAAGTTTATTATAAAAAATAAAAAATAAAAAAGTCCCAACTGGTACCCAGCCCATGTGGCTGAATGGTACACCCATGGACTGTTTGAGAAACAGACCTGAGTTCAAGTCCTGATTGAATCAAATGAATACAGTAAGTAACTGAATTGCCTGAGGCTGGTCAGTTTGATGGTGATACCTCAAGGCCATGGCACTTTTCAAAAAGAAAAAGAAAAAGACTTACGAACTCCCAATCGAACAGAAGCACGCAAAGATCCCCACAACCCTTTTGTAAAATAAAATTAAAAAAAAAAAAAAGAAGCATACGAAGATGGGAAGGAGAGTAAGATAAGCTATGTTTCCTATCTTGAGCAATACGCTCCTCAACAACCACCTCTCTCCTTCTTGCACACTACACTACCTTCTTCCCCCCTAATCTAACAGGCTACTAACAACCCATCATCAGGAGAGTATACAAACCCAGTTCCAGTCCAGATACAGTCATAATGCTGAGGTATTGTGTCTGGGAGAGGAAGATACTGTGCAAGAATGAGAGAGGCAGTGCTTGAGGAGCGCATTGCTCAAGAGAGGAAACATAGCCGGAGGATAAGGAGGCGGAGAAGGAGGCGGCGGAGGAGGAGGAGGCGGAGGAGGCAGAGGAGAAGGAGGAGGAGGAGGAGAAGGGAACCTGCCACCATAGCCGGCCAATGGTCTCTTCTTTGGGACATGGATGTCTATGGGACGCTGGACCCAGTTTCCAGCAGGTGCTGCTCCCCACCAATAGATCGAAGCCTTGTGTTCAAAAAAAAAAACAAAAAAAAAAACAGAAAAAAAGGTTTAAAAAAAAAAACTCACCTGCCCTGGATATCGACCATTCGATGTGAAGCCTTTGTACGGTACACCGACAAGATTGGTACCTGTCCAATACCTGCAAGACCCATGGACAAACCGAGAAACAAGAAACCAGTTTTATAAGTCCTTCAGGACATCCGTTCAATTTTTGCAACGATACAGAGAAAGAAGATTAGCATGCCCCCCCCCTGCACAAGGATGCCACGCATTCATCGAGAAATGGTCCAAATTTCACTAAACCGTATCCACATCATAACATTGCTGCAAACCTACCTCTCTCTCTCTCTCTCTCTCTCTCTCTCTCTCTCTCTCTCTCTCTCTCTCTCTCTCTCTCTCTCTCTCTCTCTCTCTCTCTCTCTCAGGCGGTAACCTTTCGCCCACAAGGTGGAACCAATCGCACAGGTGCTTCCAGGCTTCCAACGTAGCAGCCCCTAAGCAGAGTACAGGTGGAGAGAGCAGGGTTTCAAACCCAGGCAGGTTGTTAGCCTGACTGAGGGTTAGACTCCGTTAGCGCACAGACTTGAGGGCCGTTCTTTTTTTTTTTTTTTTTTTTTTTTTTTTGCCGTTCTTGATTGCTTGGAAGTTGGAACTTGGAACGTAGCTCAGATCGGCCCAGACTTAACCGGAGTGCCAAGCATCAAAGAGCATAACTTTTGGACGTCAACAGACTCAACACACAATTTTGGACATTTGGACCACAAAAAAAGTGTAAGGCTATCAAAGTCCATCTTGAAATCTCCAAGACACAATCTTTGAGACCCACCGCAAACATTCGTCTCTGTTCGTTCTCTTTCACCCTAGGATTCGATGACTCGGGTCAATCCACCAGCGAACTGACAATTGACGAGGAGCTGATCCCAGTAGTCTGTCTATCTGTAAAGTATTATTGATGGACAGAAATTCGACTCACTTTGCTACGAGTGGGCTTGTTAAATCCGGTGCGAGCCGGCGCTTACGAATCTTCAGCGGCACCCATCCCTTATTGAATGTGAGGTAATGAGGGCCAGGCAACTTCAGCCCCCATTCCCAGCTACAGCAATACCCACAGCTGCAGAAGACCACAGAGAGATCACAGGAAACAGGCAGACCCTGTCATGCATTCGCATTTCGAAACCTTGCATCAACAATTTGAATTTCAAAGTGGTAGGAGGAGGGATAGGAAAAGGAAGGAGGAAGAAGAACAAGAGGAAGACGAAGTAAGAAGAAAGGAGAAGACAGAAGACAGAAGACAGAAGAAAGAAGAAAGAAGAAAGAAGAAAGAAGAAAGGAGAAAGAAGAAAGAAGAAAGAAGAAAGAAGAAAGAACAAGGACAACAACCACAACGAAGAAGAAGAAGAAGAGCAACAACAACAACAACAGGAAGAGGAGGAAGAAGAAAAAGAACAAAGAACAAAGGAAGAACAAAAAAGAAAGAAGAAAAAAGAAGAAGAAAGAAGGACAAAGGAAGAAGAAGAAGAGCAACAAAAGAAACAACAACAACAACAACAACAAGAGGAGGAGGAGGAGGAGGAGGAGGAAGAAGAACAACAACAACAACAAAGAAGGAAGAACAAAAAAGAAGAAAGAGGAAGAAAGAAAGAAGAAAGAGGAAGAAAGAAAGAAGAAAGAGGAAGAAGTTTTTCTTTTTTTCTGCATACAATTTCTGGCATTGTTCCAGAACTCTAGGTAATTAATGTGTTGCATACCAGAGCTAGATTCAGAAATATTTTAATTTTTCTTTTCTGGACGTGGTCTTACCATTCGCAAAGCAAGCAAACAAACCAAAGTCAAACCAGAGTTGACTTTGGTTTGTTTGTTTGCTTTGCGAACAAGACAGACCGCCTCCAGGGGGGGGGGGGGGGGGGGGAGGGAGGGAAATGACGTTGTTCCCGAAGGAAAAAATAAAAAAAAGCCATTTCTGTCATTCCTTTCTCAAATCCTTGGTAATGTTGCATACCAGCCCAGAACCGCACATTTCACCTGACTGTGCTTTGTCTGTTGTTCTCTCTGCAGACAGACCGAGCACAAGCCTCACAGCCCAAACCTGAGTGAGCGTAGTCGAGCTGCAGCAAGACCATGCATCTCCAACACACAGATTGTACGGCTCACGATTGATTGCAAGAAATCACATTTGAATCATTCCACTGGAAACTTCGCTGAAAATCGAAGATTGAACCTACTTCACATTAATTAATTGTTTAAAAAATAGTAGAAATTCTTATAAATGTCCACAGGGGCACCCAGCTTCCCTGATCACATAGCATTAAAGAATTTAAAGTTGGTTAAACAGAATAAGAAATGGTGCAGTGGATTGCCAGATCTGGCTGTCTGTCGATGGCCACGCACAATCTCCTCCCTCTGCAAGAACTTGTGGCTTTCCTAGTTCTCTTCTTGGGAAGTCTGGTTAGCTACCTTTTTCCCCGAGTACAACGGACGGTCATTATAGCTGCATTTAGACTGAAAGATACCCCAAATACAGCTATAATGACCTTACGTTGTATTCGGGGGAAGAAGGTTGGAGGGATAGAAGGTTCCTGGGTCTGAGGTCCGCCCCTTCCCACCCTGCTCTCCCAGCTCAAACATAAACATGCAGCCAGCTTCGATATCACACACACAAGACTGATTCAAGATCAAGATAAGAACTGGCCTTCCCCAGACATTCAGGTTCGTTTCAAAAAAGAAAAGAAAAAAAAAGAGTAACGGCAAGATCAAGATAAGAACTGGCCTTCCCCAGACATTCAGGTTCGTTTCAAAAAAAAAAAAAAAAAAAAAAAAAAAAGGCAACAGCCAGGGTACACTTTCCTAAGAGATGGTCATCACAATTTAAGTGGGCTGACTTCTCGGAAGACGACTAGATTTTTTTTTTTTTAACCACTAGTACCTCGCCCAGTGTTGGGAAATTAGGGAAAAGTGGCAGTTTTCCCAAACTCCTGAAAATTCGGCCCGACGACGGCTGCCATTGATAAATCTGATCGGCGGCGGTCGTTTCGGCCATCCGAAAAGGTTGGAGGAAGGTCGGAGGCCCACCCGAGGCCCGCTATTTTCCCACGCGGCAAAGGTACTAGTGTTTTTTTTTTAGCCCCTGTGTAGATATTCTACTCGGACCCCCTATGGGACCACCCACGTCACAGCTCTGAATAACACACCCTTTCGTTTCTCCTCTGCCCTAATAAGTTATAACCCACCCAGGCCTAGTACAACCCTTGGTCATCAGACAGCCCACTGGCTGAGAGGGTCTGGTCACCACCTGTAGCTACCACTCTACTTCATTAACCTGCTACCTTACCTCTCTGCAAAGACTGGGGTAATGTCCCAGGTAGAACTACACAGTTGTTGTATCTCCTCCATTATTTTATTTTTTTCATTTTTTTTAATTATTATTAATTTTTGTAAATGGCGACGGGCTTGAGATATCATATCAAGAATTGAACTGACCGGCCCCAGGTAATTTTCAGAATGATTTATTTACTTTGGTCATCTGATTGTATCTGGATTCGAACTTGAGTCTGATTCATATTTCCAGAGTTCGTGGGTGTACCAACTGACCTACCTTCTTCCCCCGAATACAACGTACGGTCATTATAGCTGTATTTGACGCATGTTTCAGTCTAGATACAGCTATAGTGACCGTACGTTGTATTCGGGGGAAGAAGGTAGGCCCCTTGGTATCTCCTTCATTTTTTATTTTTTTTATTGCTGATTATAAGGGACGCTGGACCCGCTCTCCAGCAGGTGAAGCTCCCCTGGGCCACATAATAATTAAAAAAAAAACTTCTGCCTTTCCCTTTTGGGGGATAAGACCGTGATTGCATGCACTGTACGCTTGCCCTCGCTTATGCAAGTGCATATTTGTGAGACTGTACCTGGATGGACAACGCGTCCGGATGCAGATCATGCACCTGGCCCTTTTGTCGATCAGGCAAACTCCAGAGGGCGTGGAGCAATTGTACCGTACCCTCTCTTTCACGTTAACCCATTCATTTTTTCGCCACCTTCTCCCGCCGCCCGCCCCCCCCACCCCCTCCTGCCGCCCCGCCGGCCTAACCCCCATCCCGAATCTTCACCTGTCTCACGTAGGCGACAGACCGAGAAAGATGGCAGTTGAGGTGGCCCGGGGAGAGGAGGTCTGGAGTGGGGTGGGGTGGGGTGGGGTGGGGTGGGGTGGGGGGGGGAGGAGGGGATAAGAAAATGGAACCGAAGTTGAGAATTACCTGCCTGGGGGAAAAGAAAAAAAAAACGGACAAAAAGAGAGAGAGAGAGAGAGTATACCTGCATGACGGATGAATTGCGAGCATGTGTCGCTATTGATTGACTCAACGAATTAAGAGTTTTTTTTATTTGTTTTTCCACTATAAAAACTGCAGGTCGAGGCCGCCAATAAAGAAAAAACATTTGTGGAATACAATAGGATTACATGCTAGCCCCAGGTCCCTCTAGCAAAGAAGATTGGAATAAGCGCCTGAATCTGGATGGATTTACCGCAGAGATGCAGAAAAGCAGATCAATACGCCATTTTCTGCGCCTCTCGATAAACGCGTCCAGATGCAGCGGCTCATCATGGAGCCTCGTCCCTGGCCCAATATACATCGGAAAGTAAAGGGGCAGAAAAAGAGAGAAGGTGAGGTGGGGTGGGGTGGGGGGGGGGAAGGGGAGGAAATTGAGGCAGGGAGAGATATCTGAAGGCGCATACCTTTCTCGGCCTTTTGGCTAAGTAAGATCAAGTGCAATGTATCTGTTCTGATCAGTTTAAATATCTAATCTGTGGTCCATTGGGAGAGGAAAAAAAAAAAAAAAAATCTGAAGGCGCCTTCCCCGCCGTCTTCACCCTATGGAACGCCCCGTCATTACCATTGTATCTATAGACTGAATGTTGACCAGGTACAGTTACCGGGCGTTGTATTCGCGGGGGGATGACGATAACCGGATCAAAGACGGGGGCCGAAGGAGGAGCAAAGTGCCATTGGTATCGCGACTGTCTGGCGCGCAGTCGCGACTGGGCTTGCCTGAAATTTGTCCTTGGCGGGAAATCTGCAAGCGGCAGCGCTCGAATCTTTTTCGTTTTCGTTTTTTTTTTTTTCAGAACAAGGCTCTAATCTATTCGTTTGTTTGGAATAAAGAAAATCTTACCCATTATCAACAATGTCCGTGTCCTTGAATAAGCGAAATCAAAAAAAAAAAAAAAGAAAAAAAAAAAGCGCAATCAATAAAGATCAGCTTCATATCTGGATCCATGGTCCACATCAGATCATTGAAAACGGAAAAAAAAAACAAAAGAACATATACTGTGATCTAGGGGAAAAGGAAAAAAAAAAAAGGAACAAAACAACTATGTCGACAGAATTATCCACAAGATCATTTATGATCATTGACCATCTCTGAGCTTAATTGACACCGCGAAAAAGATTTAAAAAAAAGAAAAAAATGGAGCGCATATTAAGGCCAATAAATCCTCCCAACACCCCAACACCCCAACACCATGGGCTCACCGCACCACTCGCCAAACGCCAATATTTTCCTGTCATGATCCCCGGATACATTCAAAAATTTGGCGTAAAATAAAAATAAAAATAAAAAATGGCGTTTGGCGCAGTGGTGCGGCGAGCCCCCATGCGTTGCAGACTCTCAGGTGATACTCCCACTACATGTAGGACTTTTGTAAATGTATCCGACCGCAATTACTGCCAGATCTTATGAATCTGACAGCAATCACGTCCAGAGCCTTAAAGAAAAAGTATTTGTGTGAGTATGCCCTCCATGTTATAGACACGTAAGTTATGTACCATTAATTAATAACATAATAATAATAATAAATAAATAAATAAATAACCTACGCTACCAGAGTGGCCCGGGACCACTTGCCCGGCCGGGCCAAAAAGGATTAAAATAAATAAAAATAAAATTTTATTTTACAATTTTTATTTTTATTTTCAAATTGGTAAAGAATTTCGATATGACCCTGAGGCAAAAGTTGTTCTGTTTATTTTTCTGCATAACATAGTTTTTTCCCGGATTTTTTGGGATTTTTTTTTTTTTTTTTTTGCTGGGACCATCCGCACGGGCAACACAAGG